GTTCCGTTTGGGTCGTTCGCCGCTGGAGCAAATGAATTTGTATAACGAACGCTGGCGCTACAATAATCCCAGCCAGAATCCGCAACAGCAATACAATGGACCGCCGCAGCTGCCACAGGACGGCGGCGATCTATCGCAGGATCTGCTCTATCGCAATCAGTACGTGGTCGAGCGCAACTATCAGTTCGAGGAGGAGTGGCCCTTTTGGGTGCGCAAGCCCGAAGTGCTGGACAGCTATGATTCCTGGACGAGCAGCTATCGCAATACGTTGCCCTATTTGCGCTACTTCAACGGCACCTTCGACTTCAAGTGGCCGCTGCGCGAGCTGGAGCTGCTCGTGCCCAACATGGCCAACATGGAGGTGCTGATCACGGCCACAGTCGGCGAAAAGTTCTACGACGAGATCATCAGCGGCTATGCCGTGGCGCGTGTCTACAATTCCAGTTTACGTGTAGCCTTTCTGGGCGAATCGCCGCAGGTCTTCAAGCCCGCAATGCCCTTTACCACGTATCTGGTCGTGGAATATCATGACGGTTCGCCCATCAATCCGAATCTGCTGCGCCAGGGCCTGATGGAGGTCAGCGGCTTTGTGGAGAGCCGCAATGGCGGCCGTCGCGATTGGCCCGCCCAGCGGCTGCACATGTCGCAGCAGAGCGACGGCGTCTGGGAGCTCAAAATCGATATACGCAACGATCTGCAGCTGGACGAGCGTCCGCAGTCCCGCGAATTTCTCAACGGCATACAGAATATGCGTCTGCAGGCTGTGTTTGCGGATCCGCGGGGTGAACGCGTCCAAACCGAGCTGCTGCTCGTCTCGCACTATTCGCCGCGCAATCAGCACATCAAGATTACGACCAGCACGGAACAGCCGGTGGTCGGCGAGTACATCATCTTTCACATACGTACCAATTTCTATCTGGAGGAGTTCAACTATTTGATCATGTCCAAGGGCGTCATATTGATCAATGACCGCGAGACCATCATCGAGGGCATACGCACCATTGCCGTGGTCCTCAGCGCCGAGATGGCGCCCGTGGCCACCTTGGTCGTGTGGAAGATCACCCAACAGGGTCAAGTGGTGGCCGATTCTCTTACGTTTCCCGTCAATGGCATATCACGTAACAATTTTACGGTGTACATCAATAATCGCAAGGCGCGCACGGGCGAAAAGGTCGAGGTGGCCATCTTCGGTGAGCCCGGCTCCTATGTGGGCCTCTCCGGCATTGACAGCGCCTTCTATACCATGCAGGCGGGCAACGAGCTGACCTACGCCAAGATCATCACCAAAATGTCGAATTTCGATGAGCAAACGAACGGCACATATAAACACATTTGGTACTCGCACGAGGGTAATCCCGACGAGCTGGTCTACTTTCCCGCCTCGTCCTTTGGCATCGATGCCAATCGCACGTTCGAGTACAGCGGCCTGATTGTGTTCACGGACGGCTTTGTGCCGCGTCGCCAGGACAACTGCAATCGCACGCTCGGCTATGGTGAATGCCTGAGCGGACGCTGCTATCGGCTGGAGAAGCGCTGCGATGGTCTCTTCGACTGCGAGGATGGCACGGACGAGATCGGCTGCCATGTGCGCAACGATACGGAGCTCTTGAATTATCGCAAATATCGCTTCAATCGCGTGCTGCGGCATTATGAGAACGTTTGGCTGTGGAAGGATGTGAATATCGGGCCGCACGGTCGTTATATATTCAATGTGGATGTGCCGGATCGTCCCGCCTTTTGGATGGTCAGCGCATTCAGTGTCAGCCCCTCCAAGGGTTTCGGCATGCTCAATCGCGCCTTGGAGTATGTCGGCGTCCAGCCGTTCTTCATCAATGTGGAAATGCCGTCCGTTTGCCGCCAGGGCGAGCAGGTGGGCATCCGTGTCACCGTTTTCAATTACATGACCACGCCCATTGAGGCAATAGTCGTGCTGCACGGCAGTCCCAACTATAAGTTCGTGCATGTGGAAGAGGACGGCATTGTGCGCAGCTACAATCCGCGCACCAGTTTCGGCGAGCATCAGTTCTTCATCTATCTGGACGCGCAGGGCACCACGGTGGTCTATGTGCCGGTGGTGCCGCAGCGTCTGGGCGAGATCGAGGTGACGCTGCATGTGGCCACGCTGCTGGGCACAGACACCGTCACCCGCACCCTACATGTCGAGTCGGACGGCCTGCCGCAGTACAGGCATCAGTCGGTGCTGTTGGATTTGTCCAATCGCGCCTATGTGCTGGAGTATATGCATGTCAATATCACACAGACACCGGAGATACCCTACCAGGTGGATCGTTATTTTGTGTACGGCTCGAATCGGGCACGCATCTCCGTCGTGGGCGATGTGGTGGGTCCCATCTTCCCGACAATGCCCGTCAACGCGAGCTCGCTGTTGTATCTGCCCATGGAGTCGGCGGAGCAGAACGCCTTCAGCTTTGCCGCCAATCTGTATACGATCATGTACATGCGTCTGATCAATCAGCGCAACAAGACGCTGGAGAAGAACGCCTTCTATCACATGAACATTGGCTATCAGCGACAGTTGAGCTATATGCGGGCCGACGGCAGCTTCTCGCTCTTCCGCTCCGACTGGAACAATTCGGCGTCCTCGGTCTGGCTGACCAGCTATTGTCTGCGCATCTTTCAGGAGGCCTCGTTCTACGAGTGGGAGAACTTCATTTGGATCGACGCCACCATCATTGAGAAGAACATGCGCTGGCTGCTGCAGCATCAGACGCCGGAGGGCGCCTTCTACGAGGTCACCTGGCTGCCGGATCGTAAAATCAATCGCACCAATTTCGCCAGCTATACGAGCTTGCGCAATCGCAATATAACTTTAACCTCGCATGTGCTCATCACGCTGGCCACGGTCAAGGATCTGTCCGGCACGCTGGGCTCGCGTGTGGCGCTGGCGACACAACGCGCCGTCGCCTGGATTGAGCGCAATATGCAATTCCTGAAGGATACGCCGGAACCGTACGATGTGGCCATCACGGCATATGCACTTCAGCTCTGCAATTCGCCCATTGCGGAGCATGTCTTTAGCATATTGCGCAAGCATGCACGCACCATTGGCGACTTTATGTATTGGGGCAATCAGGAGCTGCCGCAACCGCCGCGCAAACTGGAGAACCAGAAATGGTTCTCCCTGCCCCGACTGCCCTACGAATACGATTCGCTGAACATCGAGACGACCGCCTATGCTCTGTTGGTTTATGTGGCGCGTCGCGAATTCTTTGTGGATCCCATCGTGCGTTGGCTGAACGCACAGCGTCTGAACGAGGGCGGGTGGGCGTCCACGCAGGATACGAGCGCCGCATTGCGTGCTCTGGTCGAGTATACGGTGCGTTCGCGCATTCGTGAGGTCTCCTCGCTGAGCGTCGAAATTGAGGCATCCTCGCAGGGCGGCAAGACACAGGAGCTGCACATCGATGACACCAATTTGGCCAGGCTGCAGAGCATCGAGGTGAGCTGTACAAAAGCTAGCATAAATATTCCGATATTAACTTGAATTATTTTTTCACAGATACCTGATGCTTGGGGCACCATCAAGGTGCAGGCGAAGGGCGCCGGCTATGCCATACTCCAGATGCACGTGCAGTACAATGTCGATATTGAAAAGTTCCAGACGAAGCCGCCGGTGCCAGCGTTCGGATTGCACACAAAGGCCATATTCCATGGCAGGAATCAGTCGCATATCTCCTACGTGGCATGCCAAAAGTAAGTGCTTCCACCCCCCACCATTCGATAGCTACTCCATTCTAATCGCTCTCTTTGCCCCCTTGCAGCTGGGTGAACTTGCAGGAATCGGAGCGTTCGGGCATGGCTGTGCTGGATGTGGCCATACCCACGGGCTATTGGATACAGCAGCAAAAACTGGACACCTATGTGCTGAGCAACCGGGTGCGCAATTTGCGTCGTGCACGCTACCTGGAACGCAAGATTGTCTTCTACTTTGATTATGTAAGTGCAGAGGGCAAAGTCTAAGCTAAATGCTGTAAATACTCACAAATGTTTTGTTCGCTCGCCTACAGCTGGATCAGGAGGACATTTGCGTCAACTTCACCATAGAGCGTTGGTATCCAGTGGCCAATATGTCGCGGTATCTGCCCGTGCGCATCTACGACTACTATGCGCCCGGTAATTAACAATCCTTATCCATTCTAAATTGCATTTTATAATCGCTTTTTTGTTTTTCCTCCCACAGAGCGCTTCAACGAGTCCATTTTCGATGCACTGCCCACATATCTGCTGAACATTTGCGAGGTGTGCGGCAGCTCGCAGTGTCCATACTGTTCCATCTATAACATGGGCTGGCGTGCATCCATGTCCTTCTCCCTGTTGTTCTTTAGCGTATTTATATATTTGATGCGCAGTCGCTTATTAGCCTATTAGTTTCTGTTTTCTTTTGTTTATTATTTTAACATTCCGTCCAGAGGTTTTTTTTTATTTTCTGTTCAATGACTAAATTTATATTATTATTATTTTGTAAACGGCGTTAAATCGTAATCTCAAAATATGTACAAAAAAAAGCAAAAAAAAAAATCAGCATCCAATTGGACCAATTAGTTTTGAAGTACACAAACCATTTACATTATATATATATATATACATGTAGCAATTTAGTCTTTAGCGTTCAGTTATACATTATAATATATATGATATGTATTTTTCCCTCGGAGACCAGGAACAGAGCCTTAAACCTGTTTGCCTTAATTTCAACTGGGCGCTAAAAGTGCCGCCTTATGCGAGAAATGTAACAAGAATATGTGTCTTTAAATATCACAAATTGCCTTTATTAGATTTTAGAAATCGATAGTGAATATCTATATACATGTATATGACCTTTTATTTTTGGATACTGCATGCATATCAATTTTGAAAATTTTTTATAAAACATACCGATTATGATTAGCGTTGAAAGCAACCGTCCAATACGATTTAAGTTTTATATGATGCAACAAACACAAACGAAATAAATAATAAGCAAATGAAACCAATCAATACCAAATTTAAGCAGGTTTTTATACGTATTTGTACTTTTTGACAAGAACTGTTTAAATATTGAGTTTTGTATATTTAAAAAGAAACTACAAAGAATAGCCATGTACCAACTAGCTAACGAATCTTAAAATCAAGTATTCCGTCCCTCCTTTAATGGTAAGAGAATGAAATGAATCTGAAAACTGAAATAATTGTAATTTACGTTTTCTATGTAACGGAAAAAACTCAAATAAATGAAATTAACGAAATATTTGAACACTGAATTTCAACATGGCGAAAAAAAACGTGTGGTCACACTGGTGTGGGGTGTGTTGGCAAACGAAATGAAAGGGATTTCTTTTGTTTTTTTTTTTTTTTACAAAAAGTGGGCATAAATATTTATAAATTACTTTGTTGACTTGTTCGGTAAATGCTAGTCCTACTTAACAATATCATAGAGTAGCTTAATTAGAGGAAACAACAATAAAGTCTACGTTTTGCGAAAACTAAGCAATATTGGCGATATGGCCTCCAGGCAATCCATGATATCCTTGCGTGATTTTGCGCCGGTAAACACAATTTTGCCATTGACAAAGATGAGCAGAACAATGCGTGGCTTGACCATGCGATAGATGAGACCGGGAAACATTTCCGGCTCATAGGAGCTAAACTGGCCGTGCACCTGATTCAGATTCTCCAAGCGTATGGGAAAACGCAAATCGACAGTGGCCACAATATTTTGCAGCTTGTAATCGACAAATTTGACTGGAAAGCCCAATTTCTGCAGGATGCGGGCAAACTTGCGGGAGCCAATGTTCGCCTCCATTTCGTTGCGTGCGCCCGTACAGATCACCTTGCCGGTGCGAAAGATGAGCGCCGTGCAGCGAGGGGAATGCATGCGCATGATGACGCCGCGAAAGCGTTTGGGCGTGTATTCCGAGTTGCGGGTGCGTGAATTGATGGTCTTCAAGTCGAGTTCACAGTCCACCGAAAAGGTAGCCACAATGTTTCTACAACATCAATAGTTAGGGCAGGCCAAAAACTAAAGCTGGCTTAGCGAGAGCTTACTGTAATTTAATTTCGTGTTGTGCATCTTTGGGCTCGGTCAGCACGGCTGGCTGTTGCGGCTGTAGTGTACTATGGGGATTGCTGGTATTTTGAACGGCTGGCGCATTGGGATCCGGCTCGGCAATTTTGAAATGAAATTGCATTTTCTTTTAATTCAATTAAGTGAATTAAATTGCAGCAGCAGAAGTTCGCCGAGTTAAACAAAAAACACGCGTAGCATAAAACAGTGTTCACATATCAATGAAAAATGGTAAAACAAATGTCATCGAGATTGTACGTTATTTGTTTTCAATAACAAAGTATGCGTCGCCTATTTATTTTCGTAGGCAATAGAATATTTATACTATTTGTACGCGTTATGATTTTTATCTAATGTACTTACATAAATTTAATATTTAATTTTTGTGGAAATTTGCAAATCAGTTTACCAACACTAACAGCTGTGCACAAAAGGTGTGTCACATACAACTCTCCAAAAATTATACGTCTTCCATTTTCGTTACATACGTAAACAAAGAATACGCCACAACAAAGGTACCGCTAAATCAAGCACCAAAGCAAGCGCACCGTTGACAGTCGCAAAGCAATCGAACTTGAAGAAGAAGACGCAAGAAGCAAAAAAAAAAAAAAGAAAAAGGGACGTCAGAGTTAAAAAAATGTCGGCGCACAGCGGAGGTACGGATTGGAACTCGGTTGTAAAACCACTTTTATCAAATCGTACAAGCGCTTTAAACAAAAATGAAATATCAAATTTACTAAAAGCGATTACCAAATGGTGAGTGCATATGAAATTCATAATTTCAATTTACATTTCATGGTGAAATGGCGCAGTTGAAAAATTCGCCTGCCAGGTGACTTGCAAAATTAAATATGGCGACCCGCTGTGACGAAACTTTTTAAGTTTGCCAATAAAATTTCTGATTTCCAATTTGAATTTTTACAGTGAACATGAATTTTTCGATGATGAAAGCAATTACACGCAATTTTACACAGCATTTGCGGCTCTGGCGGCCGATAAGCTCATGCAAATCAAATCAAGTAAGTATCGACACCTCCTCCCCCCCCCCTGCGTAAAAATTTTTTTTGCCCCCCTCCCTGCTCTTCTAGAACTTAACACAAGGGATTTTGCTAGCGAAATGCAATTTTAACGCATGACTCATGCGGCCAGCTTTTGTTTTAAGGTGCACCCATTTAAAATGGGTTGAGTCCTATTGGTTATGTGAAAAAGTATATATATAAATTATATATACAATTATTTTTTTTTTTTGTATATATGTATGGCTATTACTTACGGTAACTCGCTGCTGAGTACAGGATATCTGCTAGTCGTGCATTCCCGACTCTCTGGTTAATGTATACCTACTTATGCATTTTCTTTGCATTTTTTCGTTTTCTTAGTATGCCAGACGCAAATATCACAATTGCACGATGCCAGCGCGGTGCTCATCCGTTTCATACTCTTCAGATTGCCGAAGGTTTCGGTGTATGAGATCAAATGGCTGCTGGTCGCACTGAAAATGCTGTGCGAGGGCCGCGAGAGCGTCGCACCGGGTTCGGGCTCCACACAATTCGACTATAATGCTGTGGCAGCGATCCTGAAGAGCGCCAAGCATCCGGAATCCAACAGCAAGAGCATCGGCAGCAGCAGCAGCGTCAACAGCAGCGGCACCGGCACCGAAAAGGAGTCGCCCAAATCGGAGATAAAACGTTCGCGTTCAGATCTCTCAACGGTTATATTGCAACAGTTGCTGGCGCCTCTGGAGCCGGGCAAAATGACTTGGGTGCCATTGAGTGAAGAGATCAGCGATTGCACCGTAAGCAATTCATAATATTTATCTTGCAGAGGGATTCTCTGAATCCATTGAGTACACACATTTTTGAGCAGGAGAAGGAGTTGAGCTAATGAAGCTACTCCTGATCTTTGGCTCGCCAAATAGCACTTTTTTCTTCACTTTTCATTCACAACACACAAACTTCTCTATCGCAGGAACAACTGCTGGCAGCCAATGTCGAGTACTTTCAGGAACAGAACGGCGTGGACACGTTGCTCGACGTGGGCGTGGGCTTGCCCATACTCAATCGCTATCGCTCCAAGTACCAGGAGACAATTGTCGGCGGCAAGCCGCTGTATTTGCCTTTGACTCAAGTGGAAGCCAGCACCGTCAAGTCGGCGATGGCACATATGCTGACCGATCTGTCGATACTGGGACAGGCGCATTCGCTGATTGCGCTGCAGCCGCTGACACCGAGTCGCATCGAGAAGCTGTCGATGTGCGGCATTGCGGCGCTGTACAATGCCGTGCTGACCTCCATAGCGGCCAGTGTGCTGAGCATGTGCCAGGCCAGCAGCGGTTCGCAGAAGCAGCAGCCAGCAGCTGCCTCAACTAGCCAGGGCAGCGGCGGCAACAGCAATCCTTCGACTGGCGGCGGCAAGGATCACGATGATTTCGAGGAGCAGGCCTGCACCATAGTGAACAAGGCGCTGGAGATCTATACAAGCATCGGCGAGATGTTTAGGGCCTCGGCACGCATGCATGTCTATCAGAATCATTTGTGCTACGGCTCCTGGCTGCTCATCAGTGGCATCCAAGGTGCCATGGGCGCATCTGGCAGCAGCAGCAGCAGCACGGCGGCACAGGGAAAAACAGCTGCGACCAGTGCAGCTGAAGCTGCAACTGCCACGCCCAGCACGCCCATAGCGCGTGTTAATCTGTTCAAGGTGCAGCAAGGATTCGGCGAGCTAAATGCGGCCATTGCTAACCACAGCATTAAGCTGCTCTCCGAGCTAATAGAAGATCTGAAAATTGAATCCGCCTGCGGCACCGCATCGACCCAGAGCGCCAGCGTGGATGTGGAGCCGGCACAATTTGATATACTGCAAAATTACACGGCACTGCAGCGTATTGTGCGCGTTCTGAACACGGCCACATTGCATCAGCTTTTCACTTTCCTGGCAACTGTGGCTTATCGCAAGGCGTGCACCTTGAAACGCGCCAATACCAAAGATCGCACCGAATGCGAACCGATCAGCTACTCCGATTCGACGACCTATTTCAATGATTCGCTCTCCTGCTCGGACAATTCAGAGGAGGATGATAGCGAAAGCTATTTGGGACATTGGTTCAAGGAGACGTTGTCGCCGGAAACGCACGATGACAATGCCAATGCGTGTGCCCAGGAGCGCAGCGGCGAACAAAAATCAGCGCTGGTACCCAAGCTGGACGAACCGCACGAATATCTGGATTTGGCTGCAGATATATTCTGTTTCCTGGATCAATTCTTGGCCAATCGTCATGTCTACATGCAACGCTATGTGAAAGCGGGCGTCAGTGATCAGCAAATGCTGCTCATGGCCAACATTATAAAAGACTTTGATCGTGATGTTATGCGTCAGGAGGCGGGTGGTGCCTGCACCGGTGGCGGTGGTTCTGGTGAGGGCAACTGCTCCAATTGGCAATCGGCCATGATACGCTTCTCGGGCGCCGCAGGACGTTATATACACAACTTGATCTCAACGTCGTTGCTCTCGGAGCAGCTGCAATCAAATCTGTTGCAGCACCTGGCGATCTCACCCTGGTCCACAGATACCAACAGCTGGCCACTGCAGGTCTATCCGAGCACGTTATCGGTGCTGGTGCAGATTCTGTTGCTGAAGCCAACGCACGAGAAGGAGGCGGCCTGCTTGTCCGTCTGGCATCGTCTGATCAACACGCTGGTCGAAGGCGTTTGTTCGGCTGCCAATGCCAGCGATACGGAATTCGAGGATCTAAATATTGAACATGCGCAGCTGTTGCTCTTCCTGTTCCACTCGCTCAATCTGATGCAGAAGAAGTCCATATTGCTGTTGACCGCCGGCGGGGTAATACGCTGTGCCGATGTCTGTCGCGGCATTAGCGGCGAGCGCATCGTCCGGAATAGCCAAATGATGCTGCTCTCACGTCTGCTGCTCTTCCTGGAGTATCTAATGAAGCATCTGTATAATGCGCCGCCCGAACTGCTCGATCAGGTGCGCTGGAATCTGTTCAGCGTGAGCAGCATGCCGGACACCCAAAAGATTACAGATCTACTCAATAGTCGCACCAAGTTGACCTCCTATTGCCGACACGACATCGAGGAAAAGTTCCGAAACTCCACTGTAGGCGACCTGAGCTCAAGTAAGAAATGCTTTTCTAATTATGAGATCTTCCCACTGATGGTTGCTTTTCTTTACAGGTATTCGTCCTACGTTTTACTCGCTGGTCACGGCCGATCCCACCAAGCCACACTGGGCTCAGGAGTTCAAGCTGGATGGCTTAGCCTGGAATTTTATATTGTGCACGCCCGACAAGCTGAAATATCCATTGTTGGTGGATGCACTCATCGATATACTGGCCATTACGGATATGTCCGCCTACACGAAGGACAAGGACAACCTGCACAATCTGTGCGCCATGCAGTATTGCTTTAGCATTGCCTGGAAACTGTTGCTCGGCCTGCCGCCGTCCACATCGCATGTGGAATCACTTAAGATCGAACGTGCGCCCAATCTGCATTCGCTGCTTTGGAGCATACGCTGCCCCTTGGTCTATTCACATTACCTGGTGGTCAACAGTCTCATCAAGCAGGGCATGTACACACAGTATGCCGAGTCCTTGTGGGCACAGGTGGGCGATCGCACCGCCGACATACGCTACAGCCTCAAGCAGACTATACTGGGCGTGGAGGCGTTCAATAAGCAGTTGAACAAAGGTACACAAAGCTGGAAAATAATGCGAATTCCCATTATTAATATTCATATTTCTTACGTTAGCTTCATCAAATCCTCGTCTCTCCGATCTGATTCTCTTGGATGCGCTGGTTGCCCACATGCAGGCCGTGGCCTGGGCCGATAAAGAGGGCTTTAAGGTGCTGCGCAAGGAGAGCGACAGTGACAGCATTACATCCGAGAGTCGCGAGCGTGAGAATTCCAGCGCTGCCACCGACCCCGAGCTCTACTCCTCCAGCGAGTCCATCGATGAGCAGCAATCGAAGCTCACGGAGGACAGCATACTCACGCCGGGAGAGCTGCTCGAGCGCACGCAGCTCAGCAATGAGCTGCTGCTCAAGCTGATGGACTCCTACAGTCTCATCTCGAATATTGTGCGCGCCCAGATGCTGAAGCAGCTGTCCAGCAACACGCCGGAGCAGACGCTCAATCTGATAGTGCCCGTGGTCAGCGACAAGCCGGCGATTATGCTGGAACTGCACGCGGCC